GTGAGTCATTTAGATCAAAAAATGGGATTGAAGGAAATTGATTTTTATTATCTTGGGCGAAAGTATCAATTTTTTCCGTGGTGGTTTCTGAGAGGACATTAAACAGGGTATTTTCGCAGGATATTTTATTTTTGAGTTCGAGATATTTATTTTTGAATTCATTATGGTGGTCATTAATTTTATTCAGGGTCTGTGCGACTTTATGGCCTAGATTTTTAAAATTAGCGGCATTTCTCAGTAGCTCAAGGGTTTCGATTAGCATATTTTCAAAAGGTATAGCGATATCATTTATAATGTTCAAATCTGAATTTTCATTATAGATTAAATTGTCCGAGGTGGCGTCGGATTCTAAGTCCGTACAATCTTCATCTGTCGACTGAACTGTATTTTTCAGACGATTTTTCCGCTTTTTCTTTTTATTCGTCTTGCCGGTGTTAGGATAAGTTAAATCCAAGATATTTTTGGAAGGGGTGCTTCCCTCTTTATCAGTGGCGTTAAGATCGGCATTTGTATTTTCAATAATAACTACAGCGTCCATAGGACTCTCGGAGATAAGAGGTGAAATCGTAATTTGTTGGTCCTGAAAAGGACCATTTTGCGATAAATCAGTAGGTGAGGCCATGAATCTCTGGTCCCACCCAGAATCGACTGATGTTAAACTATATTCCTCAATAAATACATAAAGAGAAAAAAAAAACTTACTTAGTCAATTTTCAACTAACTAGCACAGATAAGATGCAAGATAATACTCTCCTCTCACTGTCTAATCCTCCTGTCAACTCCGATACGTGAGTCTGCTCAGGCCTTCATCGGGTCGAGTCCCAAAAACTCTCTCTAGTCGTAGTCGGCCGGCCAAATAGCAACAATAAATTTGCATTTCATATGATACTGTGAATTATTGATATGCAGTGGTAGAAAAATTAAATTAAACAACAAAAAAAAAACTTAAATTTCGTTACCACTAGAAAATATCTTTTTAAAAATCAAAGCGAGTTGGCATCTCTGTTATAGATCTCTGCTCCAAACTTAGCTCTAATAAAACTACAAGAACAAATAGATGAAATAGAAGACTGGTGTAGAAAATGGAAAATAGCCGTAAACGCCGATAAATCACAAATCCTCATCATACAAAAAAGAAGAATTAAAATTTTACCTCAATGCAAAACGAAACTGTTCAACATTCAAATCCCAATAGTTAAGAGAGCAAAGTACCTTGGACTCATAATTAATAGTAAACTCACTTGGAGGGACAATATTAAAAATATAACAGACAAAGCCAAAGCAGCAGTTAATATCATCCAACCTCTCATCTATAACCAAAACGTCTCACTAAAAACCAGAAAATTACTATACACCTCCATGATCCGACCTATACTTACATATGCTTCACCTGCCTGGACTACTATACCCGAACACCTAATGAAAAAGCTCAACCAATGTCAAAATAAAATACTCAGAAAGATCACCCGTGCCAGATGGTTCATACGTAATTCAAATATCCATAAAGATCTCAAAATTCCGTTTCTATCCGAATATATACACAAATTAAATGCAGACTTCTACGACAAAGCCGTAAAATGCAGCACAGCCAACTTCAATCAGATTTTTAACTTCGAGAACTATAAAAAAGACGATAAACTAAGACCAATAGCCGCTCATTTCACCTCCGACGCCTCGTACCACAACTATCAGCACAAATAATAGTCTTCAATTCCAGCATCTATATTGTACATCAATAATCCAAAATACCAATAGTCCACAGCATCAAACACTTTACTAATACTGAAATCCTGATCTATGTTACTTCACGTTGACAATCAAACTACAGCCATCCACAGATTACAGCAAGTTGCTCTTATTATTTTCATTTTCCTTCAGTTATACAAGCAAGGTGCTTGTCTCCCTGTAACAGCCACCCCACTCTGAACTCAAACTGTCTTTTATTTTAACTTTTTATACTATTTTATGATGTATGGGATACGGGCCTTCTGCACGGCCCAGGTGCCCAATTTTTTATAAATAAAGGATAAAGGAAAAAGATCTCTGCCGATCACAGCTTTCTGTGATCATTTTTTTCTTTTATTTTCAGATCCTCCAACATCTGATCTAACATCATAGATCCTCTCAACTTCGATGAATCGGTTAAAGCGGCTTCGCGGCTGTGTACCGAGATAGATGAAATTTCTACCCTACTACTGTTATAGATCTCTACCATTTTGGAAAACATTTCGTAAAAACTGGAGGAGTTAGAGTCACGGATTAAGAGTTTTACTTTTAGAAAAATCACACATCATAAATTAAATATTTCGATATAGATAAATAAAAAAGTGAATTACTATTTGGAATCTTACCAATGTTATAAAACACTATGAGGGAGCCATTTTTGTCTCTGTATGGATATGCGCCACCACCATTGGTTCCTTCCTGTGCAGTTTTTATACTCTCAATCTCCGGTTCAGGGGGATAAACTTCAGGATAATCTTTTCGAACAACGAAAAATGGTGCAAAAGTTCCCAAGCTCTCTTTACATCGAATTTTCTAGCTCTCAAGAATTGTAGTAGGAAAGCATCATCAGTCCAGACCTTCAGTTCCATTTGTTCTGAAAATAAAGTTTAACTGCTACAGGGTGTTAATTAATCACCTCCTCTTATATAGGGTGCTTATGTGATTAAATTTTTATTTTTCTGAAAGAATTCAACAGACTTCATTTAAAAGTTAATATTTTTTAAAAAAAATTTAAATAGCTTATTTTTGAAAAGAGTTTAAATTTTTGTGCATCTTAAAAGTGCTTCCAAACATTTTTAAAGAGAGAAGGAAATGTAACATATATTTGTTATTAATTATATTTGCATAAACAAGTGCATTATCCAGAAATATTTCCCCCCGCCNTTTCCCCCCCCCCCCGTCTTAACAGTTTCAGACATTGACGAAATACACAGAAAGTTATATTGGTGACATTAATATTGCGGAATTATCTATAAGTGCTTTTCTTTAAAAAAAGGGGGCTCTTACCAGCTATGAGACTCCGGAATTCTGAAATGGCCAGACTACGAGTTTCTTCAGTTTCATTCAATTCATCTTCGGCTACTTTTACCATCCAGTCAGTCAGATATCCCATTCTGCATGGTAGAAATCCCATCCGTTTCATCTTTAAATCATAATTGCTTTCCATTTTTGACAGATATGGTTTTCAATCGCCTGGAACAAAAAAACAATATAAATCTAGGTTCAGTTGCAAAGATATCTAAAAAAGAATTTACTCTAAAAATCCACCACTTTTTTAAAAGTGATTTTGCCCTAAACGACAACCCTAAAAGAAAAAATAAAGCACTCCCACAATAGTCCCGTTGTAGGCCAGGGATACTCGTGAAGGTTAACCCACTGGCAATTTAGCAAATGGGCAAAATTGGGAGAATGTTTTGTCCCTATACGCCATTTCCCTATCTAATAACACAGAAAAACCGGTTTTGCTATGTGGATAAGATTGCATGTTAAAATACGGCGTTTTACGAGTAGAACGGTCAGTGGGTTAAGGTCACAAGGTTTCGTGACTGTCAATTGGTTCAGCATTGCTCACCGATGACTGCTTTTTCTTCCCAGACATAGTGAAGTTGGGTGGGCTTAAAGACGCTACCAGGGACTACACCCCAGTCTGCTATACATCAGTGCTGCTCAACTGAGCATTCGTGGCTCTTTTCAAAAGTAGAGCTGGGCAGTATATAACGTATAATTATGATATTTTTTTTCAGTATCGCAATAGAGATGTTTTGAAATGTACACTATCAGACCAAAAGTATCCGGACACCCGGTAGTATAGACTTAGAGCGTTCTGAGGCACATATTAATATGATGTTGGTCTCCTTCTTGCATCGATGGCAGCCAGCACACGTCTGGGAAGACTTTACATCAGTTTTTGATAAGTGGTCATCGGAATTGACTTCCAGGCTTCCATCACGGCTGAAGTGAGTGCTAGCAAAGAGGATGGTCGATTTTGCTGGCTACGTAATCTGCACTCTAATTCGTCTCAGAGGTGTTCTATGGGATATAGATCAGGACTCTGAGAAGACCAGTCCAGTTTTTGAACACCCATTTCATCATATCACGTCAGTGCAAGCCTCGATGTGTGAATGGAGCAGTTATCCTGTTGGAAGAGAAATGGGTCCTCCCCGATATATTACCATAGAACTGGGAGTGCAGCATTGTCCAGAATGTCCATCTCAGAGCTCATGTTTCCAACCACAGGGACTAACGGACGCCGGCAAACCACAAGAAGCACCCCCACTCTATTATGCTTCCACCACCATTACAACCGATACTTTTGGCCAGATAGTGTATTTTCACAATGGATCATGAATACTATGTCTAAGAATAAGTTAGGATTATACATTATCTACAACAATAGCAATATTTCACATTGGATCAGGAATACTATGTCTATGAATAAGTATGGATTATACATTATCTGCAGCAATAACAATATTTCACAATGGATCATGAATACTATGTTTATGAATAAGTGTGGATTATACATTATCTGCAAAAATAACAATATTTCACAATGGATCATGAATACTATGTCTATGAATAGGTATGGATTATACACTATCTGCAACAATAACAATATTTCACAATGGATCATAAATACTATGTTTATGAATAAGTATGGATTATACATTATCTGCAACAATAACAATATTTCACAATGGATCATGAATACTATGTCTAAGAATAAGTATGGATTATACATTATCTGCAACAATAACACCGTGATAATATCTCAAACGATAAATATCGAATACAATATTATAGCAGGTATTATCTATAACAATAGACTATTAACCATCAAATACGGTTATATTTTATTCATTATCAACAACGATGGATAACTAATAAAATAATATTGTCAATTTTATCGTTACGACATGCTGATGATACATACAAATCATCAAAATCCATATAATCGTTATTATTAACCCAGATGGCAATGTAAAGTTTATCTTCACTAGGTAAAAACTTTCTCATGTAAACCCAAAACGGTATTACAAATTATATCCTAAAAAGGATATAATTTATGCACATTACCCTAATACAAAACCTTGAGAAACAATTTCTTTATAACAACATCAAATCAAGGTTGCCATAAGATTTACTAGCTTGAAAATATTTTTTGCATCAAGCTTATCTATGACACCAAGATAATCACCATACATCTACTTAATTATATGGTTTCATTTGCCAACATTTTGCTAGTTCAGTAAAAATCTATCTTGTCATAAGATTATTATTAACAATGTAATTCTTGATCCTGTCGCTAGTGTGATCTCATTTCCTTAACTGTCACTGTTACGTTAAGTCACATATTTGTATGTCAGTTTTAAATTTTACTTTTTATGATTTTTTCTTCCGTGAAGGAAATTTTTCTTTTTGACAAATTTATTTTGATGGAAACGAAACCCTTTTTTCTCAGTCTTCCTTTATTGGAATTAAAATTATTTTTCTCCATATGACTTAGAAATATCTATGGTAAGAACTAACGTGCCATTTCTTTTTATTACAAGAAAAGCTAACATCTAATATCTTTTTATTTTCTCAATGTAAATTAAATACACCTGATTATTTTACTTACATTTAATATATATGATATAATGCAATTAGGAAATACAGTGATAATCAAAATAAATTTTTAAAAAAAAAATATAATTTAATGAATGCAGCAAATTTAAACGTTTTTTGTTAAGTACAAAAATATTTTAACAAAATTAATAAAGTAATAGCATAAATGTTGAAGATAAACAAAAAATAGCAAATCAAGATAAATATATTTTGGGTATTAATTTTAATAGGAAATACAGCACATACCTACATAAAGGAGTTTAGAGACCCGGAATTCTCAATGTTAAGCTATAAGCTCATTTGCCTATTTGCATTCTTTGTGGCGTATTATCAATTGTTTGATAAGAACTTAATTTAAAAGTACAAAATCATTTCCTTGACTGTCATTGTTACGTTACGTCACATATTTTTATGCCAGTTTTAAATTTAACTTTATGATTTTTTTATTCCGTGAGGGAAATTTTTCTTTTCGACAAATTTATTTCGCTGGAAACAAAACCTTATTTCTCAGTCTTCCTTTATTGGAATTAAATTTATTTTTCTCATTATGACATAGAAATATCTATGGTAAGAAGTAACGTGTCATTTCTTTTTATTACAAGAAAAGCTAACATCTAATATCTTTTTATTTTCTCTAAGTAAAATTAAATACACCTGATTATTTTACTTACATTTAATATATACACCCTTGTGCAAAATAATTGAAACAAACTCAATAAATTCGGAAAACTAAGAGAAAATGCTATTTTATTTAAATTTATACAAACTCAAAAATTTTTAGAACATTATATGATCTCCACGACACTTTATTAACATTTGGACACGATTCGGCATGGATTCCACTAATGTTTTACAGTCATTTATAATATTTGTGTCCTTGTACCACACATGAATTAACGCCGTGAGTAGCTTCTCCATAGTTGTGCAGTCCATATTTAATAGGCGATTCTTGCATATGGCCCAGAGATTTCAATTGGGTTGATATCCGGAGAGTTCCCTGGCCATTCCAATGTCTCAATTTGATTCTCAGACATGAATTTCTTGACAATTTTGGACGTATGGCAATGAGCTAAATCCTGTTGAAAAATCCCTGTTCCATCAGGGTATCGTTTCTTCAACTCTGGAAGAACTTTTTTACCCAGAATAGTAATGTACTGCTCAGAACGCATCATACCGCCAATAGGCTGCAAAGGTCCAACCCCAGTGTAACCGAAACAACCCCAAAACATCTTCTTTAAAAAACACGAAAAAAAAGTTTGTTTCAATTAATTTGCACAAGGGTGAATGATATAATGAATATAGGAAATACAGAGATAATCAAAACACATTTTTTAAGAAAAAATATCATTTAATGAATGCAGCAACTCTAAACGTTTTTTGTTAAATACAAAAATATTTTAGCAAAACTTATAAAGTAATAACATAGATGTTGAAGATAAACAAAAAATTGCATATCAAGATAAATATATATTTGGAATTAATTTTAATAGGAAATACAGCCCATACCTAGAGAAATTAGTTTAGAGACCCGGAATTCTCGATGTTAAGCAATCAGCTCGTTTGTTTATTTCCATTCTTTGTAACATATTATCAATCGCTTGATAAGAACTTAATTTAAAAGTTCAAAATTCAATTTTATTCACGAGATCTAGATAAATACTTTATTTCAAAAATAAAAGTACAGTGCGCCGAAGAAAAAGAAACGGAATACTCTGAATGGCTTTTGAACTAACAATCGGTTCCTCACGTTCTAGGACTCATTCTTAATGGTACAAAGAGGTGACCTCGAATATGCTAATTAATTTACGCAGACAATATTTTGAGTTCCAAAATGAGACACAAAAACGTTCTTTCTCCGAATAAACATACATTTTCCTCCCGACGGATTTGGATTTCTGAACCCCAAAATACAGCTGTTCCCAAAATCGGCAATCTGGGAAATAGGGTCCTAATAGTTTGGTCAGAAGAGCAGTCCGAAGTTTGGACCCCTTAATATGAATTTTTCTTTTTGCGCGTTGCGCCATATCTCAAAAACTTTTTAAGCAAATTGATAAGTTTTTGTATACAATTTTAAAATTCTTTTATGTAAAGATATTCCCACGCAAGAAAAGAAATTTCTGTAAATGTTAATTTTTTAAAAATTCTATTTAATAATAGTCGAAAAAGTTTGAATTGTAAGACATACAAGTTTACACCATTTTAAAGTATCTAATTTTGCATGGCAAAAAGCAAAATTGGAGAGCAATTGGTTAAATAATTCCTGAGAAATGGAATTTTAAGAAAGTTGTTTATTTAGTCGCTATTTAAGGGTCAGAAATCTGAATCGTAGGGAAAAAAACTGTGTATTCAGAGAAAGCAAGTTTTTGTGTCTGATTTAGTAACTTAAAATATCGTCTGCACTAATTAATTAGCATATTTGAGGTCACCCCCTGGAACCATTAAGTAGGAGTCCTAGAAAGTGAAGCCAATCAATAAATCAAAAGTTATTCAGTGTGGTTCTTTTATTTGTTGATGCATTGCACATTAAGATAAGTGATTGCATCATTTTTATCAGGTTTT